CCCCAAAACCCCAAAACCCCAAAACCCCAAAACCCCTCTGTATTTTATAAAATTGAAGGAAATCGTTGCGTTGTTTGTCTAAACATTTCTCATTTTAAATATGATTCGCTAAAAATTACTAGAATTCACAAAGAATACAGGGAAAACAATGCAAATTATTTGGAAAGGGTTTATTTAGGAGAACTCTAATTTAGAGATTCAAGGTCTTTGGCTGTTCCCAAGTGAAGTCTGGATCGGTTCTTCCGAAGTGTCCGTAAGCAGCAGTCTTTCTGAAGATTGGTCTCTTCAAGTCAAGTTCCTTGATGATGTTGGATGGTCTGAAGTCAAAGTTCTCATCAACGATTCTAGCGAGATCATCATCGTCATATCCATCCTTTACAGTACCATGAGAATCGACATGAATGGAAAGTGGTTTAGCGACACCAATTGAATAAGAGACCTGAATCAAAACTCTTCTGGCAAGTCCAGCAGCTACCAAAGATTTGGCAACATATCTTCCGTAATAAGCAGCTGATCTGTCAACCTTGGAAGCGTCCTTTCCTGAGAAAGCACCTCCACCATGTGGGGCCCATCCTCCATAAGTATCAACGATGATCTTTCTTCCAGTGAGTCCTGCATCGGCTTCTGGTCCTCCACTAATGAATGAGCCACTTGGGTTAATGAAGTAAGTAGTATCAATCAAATATTTTTCTGGGATAACTGCATGAATAACCTTCTCCTTAATTGCTTCCTCTAATCCTTCAACATCTGGGTCGTGTTGGGTGGAGATGAGAACATTGTGGACTCTGACTGGGACAAAGTCCTTACCTTCCTTCTTGTATTCCATGGTAATTTGACTCTTGCAGTCTGGTCTGAGCCATCCAAGTTCTCCGGATCTTCTAAGCTCAGCCATCTTCTCGCACATCTTGTTGCAGTACAAATGGGTGAGTGGGTGGAGAGTCTCTTCGTCATCATCACAAGCATAACCAAACATGATTCCTTGATCTCCAGCACCAAGGTCTTCTTCTTTATCTACATGTACTGCTTGAGCAATTTCTTCAGATTGATCTGGAACATTGATGATAACCTGGCATTTCTCAGCATCAAGTCCAATTTCTTCAGAGGTAAATCCTACTTCTTTGCATACCTTTCTTGCGATCTGTTCAAGGTCGATCTTATCTCTATCCTTCATTCTGATTTCTCCGAGGAGGACTACCATTCCAGTCTTGGTGGCTGTCTCGAGTCCAGATTTGGCATCTGGGTCTACCTCAAGGGCTGCATCCAAGATGGCATCAGAGATCTGATCGCAGAGCTTGTCTGGGTGACCTTCACCAACTGATTCAGAGGCGAAGAAGAAGTGATCATTTCTTTTTCCTTCCATTTGTTTAGGAGTGTCTTAAATAAATTAAAAATTAATAGAAACTTGGATATTCAGGTACTTAACCTTTGAAGGGGTTTTGGGGTTTTGGGGTTTTGGGGTTTTGGGGGTTTTGGGG